TGGTGGAAAAGAAATTGTTGAAAAGAAGGCGAAACAGTCTAGGAGAAAGGGGAAGGGAAAGGGAAAAGATGGAAAATTGGTTTTGGGAACATTTGAGAAGTACAAGAATTTTACCCACTTTTTGGAACTTCATAATGGTGGTAAAGAGAATGGGGATCAATCTAAGAGGATGTACTCAAGGAAGGAGTTGGAAGATCTGAGGTTTGCGAAGATTGTAGAACAGAGGAAGTTGTGGAAAGATATATGCACTGCTCTTGGCACGAAAATTATGAGGGAATATAATGACCTTGCCAGCAACAAGCATCAGAAGTGTATTCAATCCAACTTTGCAAGGAAGGAAGACACTTCTGCTATTCCCAGTAAGAATTTCTTTACATCTTAGGCAGGTTTTTTAATTGCTTTTGCTGTACTCTTTACTCTATTTATTTGTTGGCATATTTATAATTTCCCCTGGTTTCTTTGTAGTGTGTTTATATGTCTATTATCTTAGAGAGTTTAAGTGGTGTGAGCATTATTTTGAAGTTGATTGACATGTAATGAATTTATGGAATACTGTTATGAATAGCTTGAATTGCCCCTTATTATGGTTGGTATTGGCTTTCTTCTGCACCTCAGTGGTCTTGAATTACTATGTATCTTTTGGTTTCTTTTATAACTTAACTGACCCAGTTGATTGGAGTTCTTTCAAAAATATATTTTCCTGGAACAGGTAACATTAGCATAGACGATTGTTTTGAGCATAAGCAAGAAAGGGCTCTAGTCTTGAAATTTTTTCTCTTTTGAGGAACCTAGTCTTGACATCCCCACCAAGGAAATGCTGTAACTTTAAGTTTATCTTGAATTATGACATATATATCCCTTTCCCTCTTTTTGAGACAGGATCATCGCCCTTGATATCTTCTATGAATAATGGTATTGTTGAGATGACATCAGTTGATCACGGAACTTTATTTCCTGTTGAAGTTCAGATTTTTATGGCATCTAACTGTATCCTTGTCTTGATTCCAAGATATTGCTTTCTCTTATAGCTTCTTTTTGGACCTCAATGGACCTTGTCCATCTTTGTTGTTTTCAAAATTTGCATGGTAGAAAGAAAAGATAAAAACCCCAATCTAAGCTGAATATCTTGGAGTTCTAGTTGTTTAGCTCTTTGCCCTTGGCTGCCTCCACTCCTTTCCTGTTCTTTTCTCCAGATTTTGTTAGCCCTCATTGCTCTTTCTTTGGAAATGAGACATTGAAACTCTTTTCTTTTTAAATGATGTTGCTGTCTATTGACCCAGTTGAATATCTTCCACATCCATCCCTTTTCTCATGATTTTTGGTTCATATTGTGTCAATTTGATCGGTTCAATATTTTTTACAGGTATGGTTGCTGCACTGGGAAGAGGAAATCGTTTGAATATCTTTGTGCATTGAAGAATGGATTAGTGCAATCTGCAAAAAGAACAATGTGCAACATATGAACGAATACTTTTTTTTTCTAATCTGAACTATAGTTGTGCGTGTATATACAGTTCTTGTACATGGAAATTCTTTGTATAGCCTATGACAAAGATGAACTTTCAGAGGACATGATTTGATAGAGAGGGATATGTTGCATGCACTTTTAATTGAAAGCTAATAAAATGCCTTGATGTTCAATGTGATCTGATTCTGGCTACTCTGTGGTTGAATAAAAGTTATGTATTTTAGTTCCTTGAGAAAAAGTTGCATTTTAATTGTTTGCGGTTGTATGCTTAATTACCTGTCCTCATTTCCATAGAAAGAAAATAGATTTTAGACTACATGAGAATCTTCTAAATTTTGAGATTTATTTCAGGGGAAGAATGTTCGGAAAATATGGATAGTGAATTAGCATGTGTTGAAGATTTTCAGATGGAAAATTTAAATGTTTTGGATCTTTCCTTAGATCAAAACATCATGGATGAAGATTCCCATGTTGTTGTAGAACAAGAGTATAGTGAGGAAGATGACAGCGATGAAGATTACAATAGTATTTTAAAGCCCGCCTTTTTAGTAGAAGGAGAACCAGATTTTGATTCTGGACCTCCGGAAGATGGCTTGGAATATCTTAGACGAGTCAGGTATTTTTTTCCCTTGACCTTATTTTATGTTCCACTAACTAATGGTTTGACTTCTCACTATGTGCTCATCTATCTATTTTTGTTTTCTTTAGTATCTTTCTCTGAAAGAATGAACTTATTTTGAGATATTGATGGCTTTTCAATTGACTTTTCTGTTTTCTTTTTTGCTAACACAATTTAGTTTACTTTTAAAGTCACATGATGGAACGTTTGTTTAATGGAAAATTACTGAACTGAGTTTGTGAATGTTAAAGGCTTTAGCTTCTGTTTTTTCTGTTATAAAGAAGAAAAAGGTCTTCTCCAATTCAACCTTGTCAACTATATTTGTCTTTTGTTTTATGCAAACGCAAAAGTTTCTTGCTCGAAAATTTTGTATTTCTATGTTTAATTTGTCAAAAACATTGACTTTGCCCCTTTGTGAAGGATTTGGTCTCAAGAATTTTTTAATGCTGGACAAATATTGGTTAGTCTAACTTTTACCACAAATGGTTTAGAAAACAAGGGAAGTTACGTGAGAAACAAAAGAATATTGAGGGCTAGAGGAAATTCGGGGTCAAGGTAAACAAAATGAACAAGATATTAAATGATAGATTGAACTGGTTATTCAAAAAGCTTAAGTTGAGAGGAAATAATCTAATGAATTATTTATATTTTAACACCCTTTTCTTATGCATAAACCCACCAGATTGAAAGCATGAATAATGCATAAACCAACAAACTATCTTGGTTAATTTTAATAGGAATGGAGTTATCTTGATTCTAACACTAGATCTCTGGCTTTGGTACCTTCTCAAATGATACATTAAATCGATTATACCAAAAGCTTAAGTTGATAGGAAATGACTTAATTAGTTATTTGTGTTCTAACATAGGACATATTAGATATAACTAAAAAAAAACAAAAGATAACAGGAAATGAAACTGTAGGAAAATTTTTTTCTCTCTATTGTTAGCTCTAATAGCCTTTATATATGGTGCGAAACTCAGGATCAACAATACAATCCGAACCTGCACATAAATAATTAGCATAGAAACTTAATGCCTAAATAAACCTTCCCTATTTAATCTACAATCAACCTGTGATTAGAACTAAAGTACTTGAGATAAAAGAACAAAAATTGATTAAAACACCATAAGAATATTTTGATAAGTTGAGACCAGTTTTTCACTCAACAAGAAAGTTGAAGAAACCTTCCCAAAAGCAAGCTAGTTGTCAGCTACCTTAAGCTTGAATAGTTTAATGATTTATATTTCTAAATTGAATGATGAGAACAATTACAATGAGGCCTATTTATAGATGTAGGCCGTGAGATTACTTAAAGGAAAAGGATTCCTAATCTAATAATGACTTGCAACTACAATGCTTATCTTAAATATTACAAGAACTCTTTAAAGATCATAATTAACATATGATAAAATACACATGATAAGGACTCTTCTCTCTTTAGCTGGCCCACCATGACTTATAGTAATAGGGTTCTTCTTTCACCTCACCAAGGACTTTAATTTGAGAAGAGTTTCAGTTTTGTTGATGTAGATAAGTTGAAATCCGACATGCCCTTGTAGGATAAGGATTCTTGAGCTTTCACATGTTTAATATACTTCATGAGTTTTATTTGAAGTTAAATCCAATCAAGATGAGAGGAGTGATTGCTAAAAACTCCTTGTAGAAAATTTTGGCCGATTGTTGAAGATTTTTAAGGACTCTTATTTTGTGGGATAAGGATCCTTTGTGATTGGATTCTATGAAGGATAAGGATTCCTTATAATCGGTTTTTCTTGAGTGATGAGAGTAAGGACTCTTTTATTATTAACATGTTCAATATGTTCCACAATTCCATCCAACCTGGCCATGATAAAAGGAGAGAGCAGAAATGAGAGTAATTGGCCGAAAGTCTGAGATTTTGAGGACTCTTGATGCTTACCTTGTAGAAACGTGTTTGGCCGAGTGTCCCTAATTTGTAGGACTCCTTGTTGATCAGTTATGGTGAGTTGGAGAAGGTTGAAAACTCTTATGGATGAGTTGGCCGAGAGTCCATGATTTGTAGGACTCTTTAGTGCTCGGTTTTGATGAGTTGTAGGACAAGTTATTGTGCCACCTCTCCCAAATGCCTAAAGGATTTGGCCTCCAATTCTTCATGAATCCATCTTTGAACATAAGTTTGAAAATCTTGCTTGAGTTTCTTGGCCCATGATCTTGTGATATTTCATCCATATGGCCCAAGTACATCTTGAGTTGGGTCAATTCTATGCTCATCTCCACGTGGACGAGCTTCCTCATGAGTTCAGGTTGAATTGTGTCTTGATTGCCTCTCTTGGAGGTATTGGGGGGAAGAAAATAGACTATGGCAAAGGATTATAGAAACAAGATGGGGTGAGCACTTGCACAACAATAGTGATGACCGAATTAAAATTCCTCATGGGCGTGGTTTATGGAGGAAAATTTTAATGATGTGGAAACCCTTTCAGCAGTGTATAAAGTGGAAAGTTGGTAGAGGCAACAAAATTAATTTTTGGGAGGATGACTGGGTTGGTGATGGATGTCTAAGGAGGAAATTCCCGAGGATTTATAATATTGTCCAATCGAATAGGATGACCGTTGAAGAGGCATATAGTGTCATAAGTGGAAGTACTGTTTGGTGTATTAGTGTGAAGCGGAATTTAAATGATTGGGAGATTGAAGAATTTGAAGACCTACAGCTTCTTGATTCACAGCAAATTTCTGATAGGGCTGATCAGGTTGTCTGGAATCTGGAAAAGGATGGAAAATTTTCTGTTTTTTCTTATTACAAATATTTAAGTGGCAAGGGAGATGAAATCAGAAAGGAGTTTCCGGCAAAGCTCAATCTGGAAGACAAAAATTCCTCCCTGAATTGCTTTCTTTGTGTGGGAGGCATGCTGGGAAAAAAATTCTAACTTTGGACAGATTGAAAAACAAGAGCAGGATCATTGTCAACGGATGCTACTGTTGTCTAAAGGCTGAAGAGACGTGTAACAATTTACTTTTGTAGTGTTCTACAGCTTATAGCTTATGGTGTATGATTTATGGTTTATTATGGATTAATTGGGTTTTATCTTGGGTTCGGTTGGGAAGGAAATTTGGGCTTGGGATGGTTTCTATGTAAAAAAAAATGTTGCAAATATTATTCATTTGACTGTTTTTGGGGTTATTTGGAAAGGGAGGAATATGAGAGCTTTGAATAGTGTTGAGAGTAGTACTAATAGACTAAAAGATAGGTGGATGCATTTGATTGGATCGATTATGCTAAGTTATGATATCACTAGTGATGTGGATTTTGGAGATGTCATTGATATCTTAACTTCATTGTAAATGCTTTTGTATATGGATGGTACCCCCGTTCCTTTGGTACCATTTTAATACATACTTTACATTTTTTATTTCCAAGAAAAAAATGTGACCTAAGCCATGATCTCTTAACCTTATGTGGCGGTATCTTCCATGTGGCCATAATGTCTCATGTGGCTGTGAGCTTCCATATGAGCTCCCATATGGCTGAATATGAATTGGGCTATCTTGATCTTCATGACTATAGGTATTTATTATAACAAGTAAAGAAAATTATAAAAAAAGAAATCTAAATTCTAATTTTTATAGTACTAAAATCTATAGGAGTGGGAAAATAAAATATTGTAAAAGATAAATAACCTAAATGAATTAAAAATACAAAATAATAATTATTATATTGAAAATTTCCTTATCGAAGATTTATTCTAAATTAAAATCTTCTTGTTCAATATCATTCTACCCCATTTGGTGAAAACTCAACTTTGAGTTTTGAAGTGATGAAGGATCAATAATGATAAAGCAAGAACTTAAACTCCAAATGCTTGCAACTCAGGATTCTCATAAACTCCGTGAGAAGATAAGAACTTTATTATCAAAATTGTAGATTTAGGGGAACATGAGTCAAAACAAAGACACAAGAAGGAGGTTGTTCAACATGATTGGCAAGAACAACTTTACTAAGAGAAAGAAAGAAGTTGCAAAAGAAAATAATGGTGTAGGTGCAGGGACCATGCAGGAGAGGAAATCTGGGGTGATCTCCATAACTTTTTTTAAGTTAAGGTTTATTAAAGAGAGATAGAATTTTACAGCTCTACGAGAAAACCTTGAGAAATTGGGTTCACCATTGTCTTGGGAACACATTACCAATAAGGTAAGTTTGGAAAGAAAGAAACAACAAAGCGTTTGATAAGTATGTGGAAGCGATCTCGCTTGCCACTCGCCAGATAGAGTGTAGCGGGTGTTTTTCTTCGTGGACTGTCGCTAGGCGGCGATGGTCGTTTCAGATTACTATGGTGGTGGGCTTGAGGCGGTTTTTAGTGCTTGAATAAAAGTCTTTTGATGTGGTTAGAGAGGGTAGCGGAGTTAGAATTTACGAAAACGGGAGGGGCTTTCGGAAATCAATTTTCTTCTAGAAGGGTGATATTGAATGGCTCATTCAGTATTTCAGAGAGTTTATATGGAAGGAGGAGGGGGCGTGGGGGAGGAGTAGAAGAAGCAGTTGGAGAAACCTTTGGATGGCATTGAGTGGTAACAAAAGAGGGAAGTTTCTGGTACTGTCGGAAGGGATTGAAGGATCCAAGGGGAGAATCAACAGGACCTTCCTTCCAGAGGGGGACAAAGCTGAGGGGTGGTGGCAGATGATGGAAGCAATCCATGAGGTGGTGGGAGTGAAGTTAATCCCCCATGATTGGGTTACGAAGAGAGGAGCAAAAAAATGCACCGATTCTAAAGAGTAAGAAGGATCAGACGATTTTTATATTCAGATGCTCGGAGTGTTGCTTGAAATTAGGCCTTCAAGAGGGGAAATGGTTCGGAAAAATATTTGTTGAAACTTTTCTGAAACCGGCAATTGATTCTATTCAGGTAGGGCAAGAGAACCTATCTGATCAGAGTGTGGTGGGTCAGGTTGATTCATAATTTGAAATTAGAAAGAAAGGGGGGCATGTGAGGGAGTTTGAACGGAAACTATATT